ATGGGATGAAATGGATGAAATGGATGAAATGGGATGAAATGGATGAAATGGATGAAATGGGATGACATGGATGAAATGGATGAAATGAGATGAAATGGATGAAATGGATGAAATGGGATGACATGGATGAAATGGATGAAATGGATGAAATGGGATGAAATGGATGAAATGGATGAAATGGGATGACATGGATGAAATGGATGCAATGGGATGAAATGGATGAAATGGATGAAATGGAATGACATGGATGAAGTGGATGAAATGGATGAAATGGATGAAATGGGATGAAATGGGATGAAATGGATGAAATGGATGAAATGGGATGACATGGATGAAATGGATGAAATGGGATGAAATGGATGAAATGGATGAAATGGGATGACATGGATGAAATGGATGAAATGGATGAAATGGGATGAAATGGATGAAATGGATGAAATGGGATGACATGGATGAAATGGATGAAATGGGATGAAATGGATGAAATGGATGAAATGGGATGACATGGATGAAGTGGATGAAATGGATGAAATGGATGAACATATGGATTACGAACTTTGTTACAAATGGGTTACTAATTGGTTCATTAACCAATGGACCAATGGGTAATCCCATGATCAATGATCTTTGGAGGTGCCTCATACTCTCATGGGGGTTTTCTGGAAAGGTACCAACATGACCAATAGCTTGATAACTTGCGGTTCCCCATAGGAAACACCCAAATCATGGAGCTTCATCCAGGCTTAATGTCATGAAATCAGCCTGAAGAGGGGGTAACTCGAAGATGACTTTATGATTGGAACATGGTTTTTTTTGGCAGGTTTAAAACGGTTCTATGAGATTATAATGAGATTAATGTTGCATATGTTGCATTTCGGGGAGGACACAGGAGGACATGTTTGGATCAGGTGGGGAAGCTGCTGTACGACCTGCTAAAGAGCGAGTCCTCGGTCACAGAGATCCTGAAGGAACCGTACTACAACACCTCCCAGGTCGGGTCACTCCATTGCCATCCTTAAAAAGTGGGATGTTGAAATATGTTGAATGCTGTACTGCTGTACTCTATGATTCTTTCTTTTGGTTGTTGTGGTATATTTTCTTAATTTAGTTATATTATATCTTAATAAAAATCATACTTTGCGCAGTTTCAACGGCTAGGCTTCTTTTACCGGAATGTCCACCTGGACGGTGGAATATTCATCAAGGGAAGATCGATTTGGGTGGTCAAATTTGGGTACCCCAATAGATGGGTAATATTAAACAAATACATTGGGCTATTCCAATATTATTAAACACATATTGATCTATCACATTTCTAACTTGTGGTCCCATAGGGTTTAAATTTTGATCCATCACCCTGTGAATGTTTTGAGCAATATGTCACAGCCAGGCTGCTATCCATGAAAATCGAGATGGGTTAGAGGGGCTCTCGTACCTCCAATGAACACCTGCCATGCGACGGGTGTGCACAATAGATGCTGTACCAGCTATTCATGGGCTGTCAAAAGACAAAAAACACAAAAATGTCCAGAATGGCAAAGCATCAACCCAAAGTATCAACTAAAAAACCATTATCCTGTTCAGAATTTCTGGAAACAATCACCTAAGAAAATTTGCACACCATCAACCCAAACCATCTTCAAGATAAGAAACATGTTATAAGTTATAACCGCCATAGATCCCAGTTATCCCAGTTGTAAACCAACTTGTAAATTGTCAATCGAAGGAAGTTTAGAAGTCAAACTTCCGACAATATGGACAGATGAAAAGCAGAGCAGGGAAGAGACAGAGAGAAGAGGAAGATTAGAAGAAAGAAGAGTAGAAGAGAAAGAGTAAGAAGAAAGAAGATGCAGATGCGCGAAAAGGTAGGAAAGTCGCGAAACACTGTGTTTTTCCAATGATTTGTGGCTCCGGAGGGTCGAAAAGTAGGCTCGCTAAAGCGGCGGGTGCGGAGGCAGCTGGCCAGATGAGAGATGAAAAATTGCACGCAGTTGTGGCGCGAAGCACATTTCCAAGTCAAAATGCACAAAACACCTCAGGAGCGGACCACTTTTGGAAGTTGAGATGTCGAAAACGTGCACGCCGTTGTGGCGCGAAGCACATTTCAAAGTGAAAATGTACAAAGCACACCAGCTCCGGACCACTTTTTGGAGTTGCGATGTCGAAAAAGTGCACGCCGTTGTGGCGCGAAGCACATTTTGAAGTCAAAATGTGCAAAACACACCATGCTCGGACCACTTTTGGAAGTTGACTTTAGAAAAAGTGCACGCCGTTGTGGCGCGAAGCACATTTTGAAGTCAAAATGTGCAAAGCACACCATGCTCGGACCACTTTTGGAAGTTGACTTTAGAAAAAGTGCACGCCATTGTGGCGCGAAGCACACTTCCAAGTCAAAATGTACAAAACACACCATGCTCGGACCACTTTTGGAAGTTGAGTTGTCGAAAAAGTGCACGCCGTTGTGGCGCGAAGCACATTTCCAAGTCAAAATGTACAAAGCACACCATGCTGGGACCACTTTTGGAAGTTGAGTTGTCGAGAAAGTCAACGCCGTTGGAAGTCAAAAGTGTTAAAAACACTTACACTACCTTCCACTACACTTGACTACATTACACTACACTACACTCCACTACACTACAACTACAACTACGACTACACAACTACACTCCACTACACGAAATTACACTACACTACGCTACATTACACTACACTACACTACATTCCACTACACTCCACTACACTACACTACATTACACTACACTACAATACACTGAATCACACTGCACCACAGATAGACAGGTAGACAGGTAGACAGATAGACAGATAGACAGATAGACAGATAGACAGATAGACAGATAGACAGATAGACAGATAGACAGATAGACAGATGGATAGATAGATAGATAGATAGATAGATAGACAGGTAGACAGCTAGACAGATAGACAGATGAAAGAGAGAGAGAGAGAGATAGATAGATAGATAGTTAGATAGATAGGTAGATATGTAGATAGGTAGATAGGTAGATAGGTAGATAGGTAATTAGATGAAAGAGAGAAAGAGAGAGATAGATAGCTAGATAGATAGATAGATACATAGGTAGGTAGATAGTCAGAGAAAGAGAGAGGCAGAGAGGAGACCTCAAGCACCTTTCGGTCCATCAGTGGATTCGCTTTGCCATCCCTGATTCACAACAACCAACCTCTCCTATAGGTCTCCTATTTTTGAAACTTCCGCCACCGCCTTGTGCGGTACTACTGGTAACCACAATCCCAACCCGGGATTAATCATGGTTTATTCAATAAAGGGTACTCCCCAAATAGTGATGTCATTTAATACTTAAATGGGAGGTCGGTTCACATTATACTTATTGACCACTTACGATGGATTTATAAGCCGTAAACCAGAGTTGGCAGGAAAGGTTATCCAACTAACTAGAGTTATAACTGCCATAACCCCCAGTGAACTAATTACAGCCATAAAACCAACTCACAGGAGAACTGGCACATCAAAAATCACACAAAATGCTGATCAGAATTCTACCATACTTATGGCCACATTTATCTACTGCAGATACCCTCTGGTAAACTGTCACATAACTATGGAAAGATCCACCATTTTTCATGGGAAAATCCACTATAAATGGTGATTTTCAATAGCTATGTGAAATTACCAGAGGGTACCTTACTTCCAGCATCTTCCAGCTGAAGGTGACCTCAGAGTTGGTGCAAGTGCTGCGCGCCCCTCTGCTGCTGGAGGGCGCTTTGGAATCGACCCTGGTGACTTGGACAGCTCGGGACTTTTGAAGTTGTCCGGAGGGATTTATCCGTGGAAGATAGGGATTCCATGGAGATATCATGGGATATATATATACTGTATATATACTGTATATATAGGCTTGTCCTGGCTTCTGGAACTGCGGCAGCAGTTACGCACACGCGGGGTGGGGGGTGGGGTGGGGTGGGGTGGGATGTTAACGTTCATGTGAACTTGCGGCAGGATGTTAACGTTCATGTGAACTTGCGGCAGCAGTTGATGCTACGCACACGCGGGGTGGGGTGGGGGTGTGGGGTGGGATGTTAACGTTCATGTGAACTTGCGGCAGGATGTTAACGTTCATGTGAACGGGACAAGTTTTACCAACCTAATTCAGGTTTGCGCGGTTCCAGAAGCGGGGACGATGATGATGATGATGATGATGATGATGCTGATGATTATGATGATGATGATGATGATGTGATGCTGATGATGATGATGCTGATGATGTGATGATGATGATGATGACGATGATGCTGATGATGATGTTGATGATGATGAGGATGATGATGATGAAAATGACCCAAATGAAACTTGTAAATTCCGGGACGAAATTTCGTCCCGGAATGGACAAGTTTTCCCAACCTAATTCAGGTGGTCCGCAGTTCCAGAAGCGGGGACGAGGCTATATATACTGTATATATACTGTATATATATATATCTATATGCACATATATATATAGATATTATAGATGTACTGTATGTATATGTATATATATATATGCATATGTGCGCAGACGACACAGTGCGCAGACGCGCCAAGGACATCTTGTCCTACTCCACTGGGCCACTCTTGGAGCAGCTGCTGGAGGCACCACCTTGATGTGCGAAAATGGGGGGATGGTGGTAGATGTCTAAAGTCTAAACTTGCAAATGTCATGGAAATATGATGGTTCAATTATTCACAAGTTGATTTGGGGTATATCCAATTTTTGGCAAACCCCAATGGTACATGACCATCCTGGGAATTGTAAAGAATGACCGATAATCGTAGATTTTGTATTAATCTGTCCAAACTGTTCATGTTTCGAAGCAAACACGAAAAGGATCACGATCACACCGATTCATTTGCTCAGTGGTTTCAGAGATATTTTTCTATCCACCAGGTAGGTCTGGTTTATTTTCAATGGATTCGTTTAAGGCAGACTTTGAGGATTGTTTTTTTTTGCTTTATATGGTGGTTTTCTGTAAAAAACAGCAGCCTTTTTGCGGAGGATGTTCGCCTAGCTGCTCCAGTTTGGGTCGGCAATCCCAGATGGCGAGATGAGCCTGATGACCATGGAAATAGTGAGGTAATGGATTGACTGGATACTTACCCTCTGGTAAACTAACATAGCTATGGAGAATGGCCCATAGAAATAGATGGTTTACCTATTAGAAATGGTGATTTTCTATAGTTATGTTAATTTACCAGAGGGTAGATGAAATAACATGACATGAATTTTAAAAACAAATATTTAGTCTAGAGTGGCAGTAGAACATTATATGATAGTGGCTGATATTCTATATACACATTATGGTAGATACGGATATACCGTATGTTTGGTGGTGGCAGTTGTTTTCATAGCATGTTGGGTTCCAGCATCGCTTCAGGTCTGCTGGGGACAACGCGATCCCTGGACGCCTTTGCCAAGAGTTCTGGGATTGGAAGAATTTTCGGCCGTGAAGAAACTCGTGGAGTTGCTTGGGCTTCCACGGATTTGACTCACTGTTTCCACAGTTTCCGCTATTCAGAATTGACACAATGCAGCGAGAGATAACCTTTCCTTGATTCGAACAAATGAAGGTTTTGCAGAACGAAATCATAGGATTGAAGAAGTCCCCAGTTTCGACATCCTCCAAAGACCTCAAAGTGCTGCAAGTGCAAGGTATTGAAAATGGCTGCACCGAGGTTTCCAGATGTTGGTCACTGCCCACATGATGAGTCCCCAAAGGTTACTTGGATGCACTGCTCATGACAGAAACCTTTGGGCTGTGCGGATTCTGTAGCTTCAACAAATCACCTGGTCCATGTGCAACCCTCTGGGACCGAGGTTGTGAACGATTTGATCTTAGCATTTGTACAGAACCTGTCAGCCACCTGATCCAGGGAGGTGTTATTTGGGTCGCATGGTAAATTTTTAAAGAAACATGACACCCACTACATGGTCATTTTATTGTTGGAAAATGATGACACACCCAAATTGTGAGGATGTCGCAGGTGGGATTCCAAACTCTTGTCACTTGTCACAGATCCAAAGTGATTGGAGAGAGTTTGGCGAGTGTAGATATTCTCTGGCGCTCACACGTCATCCAAAGTCTGGTGACTCGTGGTTTTCTGCAGCCAAAAACGGAGATCGGAGAGAGTGAGTTGCTACAGATTTTCTACATTCTCCCTGGTTCAACCTGCCTCTTCTTGGAAAGTGGTGGAAGTCTATGGCATATCACCATCCCACAAACATCCTTACATGGTCAAAATTATGTACTCCGCCGGCAAACAAAATCTCTAAAAAGATATGGGATGATACGGGTCAAATAACCAAAATGGGAACAGGAAGTCAGAAGATAGAACTAGCGATTTGGGCAGAGTGTCTCCCGCTGACAATAGATAGACATCGAGACATGTGGCTGTGTCTGAAAATAGTGTAGCCCTTTTTACCCAATGGTTGTGCTGATCATTATCCCTATTAAATGGCTATTTCATTGGGAATATACCCAACATTTTCAGACAAACCCATGTTTTTTGGACGAAGTCACCTCTGATTTTCCATGAACAGGAGATCATCAGCCTGACACCTTCCAATGCCATGAAGGGCACCAGCAGCTTCAACGAGTCCAGACACTGGGCTGGAGATGGGCACCAGGCACCAGGGTTTTTTCTGGCGTGGAAATGAAACCTTTTTTTCTGGAGGTATGATTGTAAACTCTAGTTGATAGTTGGTGTTTTTATGTGTTTTTCATTTTCCATCCAGCAAATGGGATGATGACCCCCATTGACGAGCATACTTTTCAGGGGGTGACGGCCATCAATCGAGGATAGTAATGGAGCCACAAGATGGATCTTATTTCTTGTATTGAAGTTTCTAGTTTTTTCAAAACATTTTGAACCATAGCACAGCAGCATTTTCGTGATTGAAGCATGAAGCATTTGAGGTCGGTGTTTTTTGGATCCCAATCTGATTCGGCAAGGTGTCCTGAGTCTGGAGTTTGCAACAAACCCATCTCGGAATAGCGTTCGTCAAGTGCGCTATCATGTATTAGCCATGCCAGATCATGACATGTATCATTTGACAACACATCACCGAAGAACAGCCAGCAGTTTTTAGCTGACATACCCCAATCCAAGATCATTTGTTGGCAGCAACTCTATCAACGTAGGGAAACCAACCTGCGATCCACCTAGGAAAGAACCAATCCTTCTATGGCTGGCCAGAAACCGTGGCCCAGTGGGTGGAAGTTCTTTTAGGCATGGCGTGTGCTGCAAGGATGTGGTTTCAATCCCCTTTTCAATCGGTTCTTCCATGTCCTCCAGGGAAAATCCAAAGAAACAATGCCCTTTGCCTCCTTTTGCAATAGGGATTCTTGCGCCTTCCAAATCTCAGAAATTCCAACGTGCATCAGCTGCATCAGCTGCATCAGCTGAAAAGTGAAACCTTGCAGGTGGCCTGAACTCTGGACCCATGCCTTCGGGGCCAGCAGGCAAGAGCTTCTGTGTGGCACCCCAGCATGGTGAATCTTGGTGGGTCTTCCATGGGTCCACAGACAAAGGCTTCGGGCAGCGGATATGGGTAGCTGGGAAGAACATTTCTTGGGTGTTTCTTTTTCTTTTTTTTTTTGCATTCCTAGTCATTGTGGAGAAGCTGGTGAGGGATAAATCAACAGATTTTCAGGGGGATGAACATCCATAAATATCCATAAATCCCAGCGGATTTTTGATGTGAACAGAAGGGGTTTTCATGGGTTTTGACCAATTTTCCCATATTGATGATGTATCCATATGTATCCCACTATACAGTATCTTATGATATCCACATCAATTTTGGTTATATCAGTTATATCATCTCAAACACAATTAATGTGGTGGTGCACCCAATAGTAAACACGTTTGAATACCATTACCAGAAACTTGTTGCATAAACTTATAAACCATCAAAAATTGGCGGTTCAATAATTGGGTTTACCACATTAAATCCCATGACATCCGTATCTTTGACACTGCTGTTTTCTGCAAGGTTCCGATCATAGAGTCCTGTGCTCAGAGATGGAAAACGAAAGGCTTAAAGGCATAGCTTTGTTCAGAAATGGGGTACCCTGTCAATATGGGTATGGATCAATACCTATTAAGCCATTTTTAGGGGGATGAACATCCATTTACCAGCTATTTTGATGTTCACCAGGGGTACAAGGTTTTGACCCATCCCCAAATGGGATACCCTGTCAATATCTAATGGATTTCCAATGGTTCAGCATCATTTTCCCCTAGAAATGGCAGCAATTGCTAGCGGGTTTCTATTCATATTGCTGACTCCGAGCGCTGAAATCACCCACCTTATGGTTGTGTTTCCAAGATAGAGATTCAACAGCCCTTTTGGGACGTGTAGTTATTCTATAGTCTCTACGAATATCCATGTATATAGAGGATTTTCCCACGACAAGATGGGGGATTTTCCATGGCACTGTCTGATGACAGGGTTTTGGGTGGATTTTGGAGGTTCCAGACTTTCCAGACTGTTGGAACATTTGGAACCGCATGGCTCCGCCAAGTCTTATGTACTCTACGGGCAGCCGGTCTATCTCTTTGGGCTCCTGCCAGTGGCCCAGATGGATCGGGAATGCGGGGAAGGATCCAGATGTTGTGTTGTTGCTGCACCTTTCTGCACATTCCACAGGCTCCACAGGCTCCTACCCTTCAGGTTGTTCGCGCGCTCGACCGCTCAACCCTTCAGGTTGTGTGTCTTCTGTCCAGCCTACCTGCTGAAGCACATTCGAGACTTTGGTTGGGCTCCCGGTCCGTGGTGAGGGCTTTGGCACTTGGAGAAAGTGAGCAACGGCTGAACCGCGTTTGAAGCATGTTGAATCCTCTTCCATGATATGATTGGTTGGGTTTACACTATTAAAAATCTATGACATCTATTGTCTATGATAGGTTTATAGTATTCAAGACTATTAATCCATTTTTATCCCGTCATGGATTTAGCACCTGAAAACTGACCTTGAACCCCGGGAAAAGCGTCCATTGGTACCCCATGTTCGCCGAGGCATGGCCGAGAAGCCAATGGACTCCAGGATCAAATCAGGCGGGGATGGCGGGGCGGGAGGCTCGGTTGATTTATGAGGGTGGTACGACCAAAATAGTGATAACATGACAAAAGAAATAATGATAAGAATAATAACAAATAATAATAATAATGACAATAATAGCAAGAATAATGATAGTAATATATATATAGCCCTATAATTATATACATAGAACACACACACACACACATATATATAATGTTTAAAACGAACATATACGTTAATAGTGAGATCATTTGCTATTCACATGGTACCCCTCAATGACAGCCCGTGGGTATACATTTCTCCACATGGATTTGTCCTTTCTCGCAGAAAAGATGTCAAAAAACATGAAATGTTTTTTTGAGGTCAATCTGAGTTTCTTTCTTTTGGCAGGTCTCAAGTGCCCAAGACACCAAGACCACCCCACTTTTTAAATCCTGCAGCCCGCGCTCCGATTTTGGCTGCAGCTGTCTTGTTTGCCTTGTTGCAACAGCGTGCCGTGATTTTCATCGCTACAATGGCACTGCCGATGAAGACTGTGATGAAAGCCATGAAATCGGCAAAGGCGACCGCCATGAAGGCCAAAGTGATGAAGAAGAAGGCCCGGGTTGGCCCGGGTTGGTCTATTTGATATCTATAAACAGATATGATTTGATATATGATACATGTGACATAATGTACATATATATATAGATATATGTATAAATATACATGTAGATAGAGACATGTAAATATGAAAAAACCATGACTTGTACAATACATTCTAAATGTCCTTTGTGGATTTTGAACCGACCGGATCCTTTCATTTTTGAGGCCGTGAGCAAGATCGCAACGGGCAAGAGAGCCAAGGTCGCTGTCTTCAAAGGCAGGAAGGAGAAGACAGTCTCAGGCCTGAAGCGCGAACACCTGATGATCAACAAACGGGGCAAGGTGGTGAGTAAGAAGATGAATCTTGGTTTTGCTGAGGTTTTGTTTCCCAACAAAAATGGTGACTTATTATCTTAAAAAAACAACTTTCAACTTAGATTGGCCGAGTCGTGACTTTTTCCTTATTTTCCCAATCACAAATCCACTATGACTGGGGAATTGGGAAGATTTTATTAGTGGTTCCATCAGCAAATCCCAGGAATGCTGCTGGCAAGAACCGCTTCAAGCAGATCTCTGCCTGGATCAATGCCTGTCAGTCCGCCCGCAATGAGCTGGGAATCAAAGGTATGTGCTGTGTGGGTGGCAAGACGGTTCAGGGGAAGGCGCTGTACGTGAAGGCCAAGGCCATTTTTGGCAAATGAGCTCGAGCTGTGCCTGTCAGCTGTGCCTGTCAGCCGTGCTCGGAGCAGTTCGACAGCTTTCGTGGTAGTTCATGGAGCAATAGATCTGCTGTGATCGGCTTGTTTGGAACTGCGCTCAGTTTGTACAGCCAAGATTTGGGCCAGTGACCTCTTAGTTGGAGACTCATGTACATCATGTACATCCATGTCCAACAAGGCCGAAAAACTGTTTGCCTAGAGCTGAGTTGAAAATGCACAGTGGAGGATGGGAACTGATCTTTTTAACTGGGCCTGGAAACCCCCAAATCTAATAGTGGTTTGAAACCCAATTTTCCCCATGAACAATAGCCATATGCAGGGTTAGTGCCTAATTTCCAGACACATCCGAATGATCCCCGCTGATCACATTCTTACAGTAGTGTGGGTGTATATACTGTATATATATATATACATACACAAATATATATATATATGTATATGTATATGTATATGTATATGTATATGTATATGTATATGTATATGTATAACATATGTACATACACAGTATTTCCCACGATTTCCAGACCTGGGTTTTCCACCTGGCACCGTCGCGGTAGGTGCCAAGGGTGCTGTTGCCTGCCGCTTCGTGCTTTGGGAGCCATGGAATCAACGATGGGAAGTGAAGCCACGGCAAGCCAAAGAAAAATGGTGATTTTGATCCACGAAAATTGGTATTCAGCCAGAAGTGGGGGATCTTTCTACTGGTTGAACCAAAACATGGGATCACACTGGGGATGAGCATCCACAGCAGCGATACCAGGGCACCAGGGTACCAGGGGACCAATGGCTGCAAAACTTGGTGTTTTAAAGGGGCAACCTGCGGATTTAGACCGCGTCTTGTGCACAGTGCAGCCATCCGGCCACCAGTGGAGTCACCAAGGATCGAAGCTTCTGCTTTCTCAACTGTCACCTGGCGGCGACCACCTCAAATTCTGCGAGGAGTCCTGTGGTCCTGTGGTCCTGTGGCTGGCTGAATGTTGCAAGAGTGAGGTGCTGATGGTGCTGATGGTGCTGATCTTCATCGGGTGATTAAAACATATTAAACCCCTCTTTCCCATACGTATCCTCTGGTAAGACTGATATGGAGCTGCCAATGTCGATTGTTTTTGCGGACCACGTATGATTCTCCGTCGTCATAAATTCATTGAACTTTCCAACTCATTAATCCAACTAGTGGTCCGATGATGATAATGTATTAACATAGCTCCATTTATAAACATACCTATCATGATGGTTTTTAGATTTAATCAGCACTGAACACATTAATATTGATATTATTAGTGTCATTCAAAGTGATTGACTTTAATCCATTAATCCATTCATCCATTAATCCGTTGCTCCATCAATCCGTTGATCCACTAATCCCTTAATAGTCCCCTCCCCCTACAATTGACACACAACCCCAGAAACCATGGTGCATGTAGGGGATTTACAGATATTTGGGACAATATATACACATACACTACACACATACATATACATATATATATATACATATCATATATATATATATATCATATATATATACATATATATATATACATATCATATATATATATATCATATATATATACATACATCATATATATATATATATAGATGCCACAAAGGGGTATTGGGGGATGGGATGAATCCTAAGCCTTTTTTTTGAAGGATCAGTGCCCGAGATCTTCGACAAAGGTTGCGGCAACTGGAACAGTGCTGGACCGAGGCTGGGCAATGCCGGTGATGTAAGCGACAAACCAAGGGGAAAACAAATGGGATATCATGGGATGTGACTATGATGGGATATTGGATATATATATATATAGTATATATAGAACCAATACTATATTTGGGTTTCTCCAAAAAATTGTAGCTTGTGGCATTAAACTGCGGCTCGCGGTCATTTTAATAGGGAAAAATGATGATCAATCATCACATTCATGGCCATCAAACAGGGAGAAATCAACATTTTCTTAAGCCATTAGATTTTAGGGGTTCCCCCTTTTTTGGGCAAGCCCATCAGCCCCGTATGAAGTATCAACCCAGCCGAGTCTGATGGGGTACCGTTGGACCAGCAGTTGATTCATTTACGCACGACTTTGCTCTTAGGAATGAAACCATCCGACCAGGGGTTTTGAACGTTGCGCTTTTGGAAATTCGATCAGAACAAAAAGAGCAACGTTCAAAACCCCTGTTGGTTGATGATAATAGGGGGTTATACTATCCAATTTTGTGTGGATTATCACAATCCATTGTGGGAAATCCTATTAATCAATCAGTATAAAGGGATGACATTTCGGGTATCCAAACGTTTGGAGCGGAGTCAAGCCCCCTGCACAGATCAAATTCAAGTCGCACGTGAACCAGATGGTGCCTGCCTTACACCGTTGCGTTGCAAGCCTGCTTTGTTGCAGCCTTGCTCGATCACCGACCGAGGTTTATCCTGTGTCTGCCCATCGCGCAATTTTCCTTCTGGGGGACTGCGGAACTGGGGACTGGAAAACGCTGACATGGCTTTGTTCAACGGCGCCATTGAAAAGTGATGTGGCCGAAGGACACCAACATGAGATTGGTGCACAAGAGTGACATCAACGAGGAGTGGGGAGGGTCTTGATGTATGTCTAAACGAAGCAAAACTGATGTCTTTGCTGTCACACACACACACACTGTTGATTTTTTGGAAGTGAACTGCAATGACGATGTGGTTGTACACGCCTGGTAGAATTCCTGAGTCCATCATCCTTGATAAACAGGTGAAACCAGGTCCAAATCATTAATCAGCAAGGTGGTTCTTGGGTTAGCCACATCCCATCGTGGAAAAGGAAAGACATGATTAGGCAGGTACGTCGATCCAGCGTCCCGGATCGATATCACAGAATGTCATAGCCGTCTTCGTTGGCTGCAGAACTATGACATTCCCTGCAGCCCCCTGCTGTTAAGTAGTCTTTGGCGCATGAATTCGGAAAACATAACGTGCATAGTCTTTGGCGCATGAATTCGGAAAACATAACGTGCATAGTCATCAAATGTCCAGTTGTAGTTTTCTGCATGTGAATAGCAGTGTGCACACACACAAAGGCCTTCACATGGAAGGCAAATTCTGAAAGACTGCCTAATGAAGCAAGCAGATCACGTCAATATAAGCAACGTTGAACTCATTCGAAAATGAAATTCATGCTTGGGATTAGGTGTATACGCACCTGCATCTTCATGGACAGGTCTTTCCAAAGAAGGCACTCTGAGGTAGCGGCGTGTAGAGCAAGTAGACCACGTAGATCAAAGAAATCGCGATAAATAAAGTCGAAATGGAAAGGACATGGTTAGATTAAAAGGTGTTAATTGTTATTGGCGAAATGATTGAAAATGATACAATCCAAAGTTTGTATTAGCGAAATAATTGAATATGATGCAATCCAAAGTTATCGTGCCCTTGTCCCTCACGAACATCAATTGTTTGTTGCAGATTGCGCAACACTTTGCGTGTGGAGAGCGGTATACACATATATCCATATGTCTTCATAAGGAAGGTGACACTTCTGGGTTGCCGACGCGTGGAACAAATAGAGCAAGGACAGTATAACTTTGGAGTGTTAAAAAGTGAAGATAACTGCACTTCAATTGAAACATGGATACCACGAAATGAAATGGACACAAATCGATTGTATTCTTGTTCTTCCACAAATCCGTTTAAAATGAACGTTTATTAGTTGTCTATGGACGAAGGGCAGAATTCGCCAAAAACTGAGATTCCGACGCGTAGAACACGTAGGTCAGGTGGTTGAGATAGAACGCAGTGATGAAAACAGTAAATGGATTGATTAAATCACAGTTATATAACACTTAAGCCAGTGTGTTGCAGTACCGTGAACCATATAGAGTAGAACAACGGACGTAAACTAAGCTGGAGAACTGAATATAATCAATTACGGAAAACAAATATCACACTGCGAGCCAGGCGTTTTGGGTGGGATGTTGCAGAAAACGTTTGAACAGTTGCAAAGTTGCAATTGGAATGAAAAGCACAAAACCAAAATGCAGCTACGACGGCTTCTTTTCAGTCAAACGGTGTCAATTGTTGTCTGGTCCATTTGTGTCCAAAACTGTTGATCTTGAAGACGTTGTTGTGCCAAATTGGATTCCACTGTCATGATGCGATCCATGAGATACACTATGGGTCCTGCATGATCAACACTCTGAGCTTCCAATCTATATTCTCCTACAATGCCTTTGACAGTCAACGATAATCCGGATGGTGAAGTAGGCGTACGTCTTTCCGCATGTTCAGCTAGCAACGTGATGGGAACCGGTGATACTCCTGATTTTGCTGAGGACTCCGCGATAGGTTATATCTTGGGGGTTGCTTGGTGAGGTCCATGTTCAACTGTACGTGAAGGATGTGAGGGGGGAGGTGAAGGAAGGGGACCGGGCGGAGTCTGTAGAACTGGTGCATGTCCGGGAAATGGTGAAAATGCAGGTGTCGCCCGTGGTACAAATGGAGCTGCTGTACACGGTGAAGACAGTGATACCATCGGTTGTGACGGAAGATACGCAACGGTAGCACTCAACGGCGGTCCATTGGCAGCTTTGCTTCTTGCATGGAGTTCCATATCGCGAAAAAGTCTGCTGAACACGAAAGAAGAAATGAGTTGTTCAAGAATTGTCAGTACATTTAGCGCATGGTGTGTTATGACGAATGACGTGTAGAAATGAAAAGCAACAAATTGACTTAACATGTCAAAGAGCTTGCTATGAGCCAAGGGAATGCATTACCCAGATTGAAAACGCATCAAAATCATGTATCAACTTGCGCATGATCGAAAACATGAATCAAGATCGTACACACATCTGCAGCGATAAGGTCCCTACCGTGTTTGACATTCTGCTTGGTTTGAGCATCACAAACTATGTGTGTCCGCACACTTTTGTGATAGGTCTTCCTATATTCTAGATCTCTTCAAATTGATCTCTTGTCCTCACAATTGTAAATTGATTTGAAAGAGAAGGTGAAAACTCATAAAATGACAGTAAGAAGTAGGGTTCCCGGCCAATAAAATCCTTCGGCACATGGCCACCTTCGCCCTATGGGCACCATTCGCCCGTTGGGCACCCCCTTCACATGGAAGGCAAATTCTGAAAGACTGCGTGTAGAGCAAGTAGACCACGTAGATCGAAGAAATCGCGATAAATAAAGTCGAAATGGAAAGGACATGGTTAGATTAAAAGGTGTTAATTGTTATTGGCGAAATGATTGAATATGATGCAATCCAAAGTTTGTATTAGCGAAATAATTGAATATGTTGCAATCCAAAGTTATCGTGCCCTTGTCCCTCACGAACATCAATTGTTTGTTGCAGATTGCGCAACACTTTGCGTGTGGAGAGCGGTATACACATATATCCATATGTCTTCATAAGGAAGGTGACACTTCTGGGTTGCCGACGCGTGGAACAAATAGAGCAAGGACAGTATAACTTTGGAGTGTTAAAAAGTGAAGATAACTGCACTTCAATTGAAACATGGATACCACGAAATGAAATGGACACAAATCGATTGTATTCTTGTTCTTCCACAAATCCGTTTAAAATGAACGTTTATTAGTTGTCTATGGACGAAGGGCAGAATTCGCCAAAAACTGAGATTCCGACGCGTAGAACACGTAGGTCAGGTGGTTGAGATAGAACGCAGTGATGAAAACAGTAAATGGATTGATTAAATCACAGTTATATAACACTTAAGCCAGTGTGTTGCAGTACCGTGAACCATATAGAGTAGAACAACGGACGTAAACTAAGCTGGAGAACTGAATATAATCAATTACGGAAAACAAATATCACACTGCGAGCCAGGCGTTTTGGGTGGGATGTTGCAGAAAACGTTTGAACAGTTGCAAAGTTGCAATTGGAATGAAAAGCACAAAACCAAAATGCAGCTACGACGGCTTCTTTTCAGTCAAACGGTGTCAATTGTTGTCTGGTCCATTTGTGTCCAAAACTGTTGATCTTGAAGACGTTGTTGTGCCAAATTGGATTCCACTGTCATGATGCGATCCATGAGATACACTATGGGTCCTGCATGATCAATACTCTGAGCTTCCAATCTATATTCTCCTACAATGCCTTTGACAGTCAACGATAATCCGGATGGTGAAGTAGGCGTACGTCTTTCCGCATGTTCAGCTGGCAACGTGATGGGAACCGGTGATACTCCTGATTTTGCTGAGGACTCCGCGATAGGTTATATCTTGGGGGTTGCTTGGTGAGGTCCATGTTCAACTGTACGTGAAGGATGTGAGGGGGGAGGTGAAGGAAGGGGACCGGGCGGAGTCTGTAGAACTGGTGCATGTCCGGGAAATGGTGAAAATGCAGGTGTCGCCCGTGGTACAAATGGAGCTGCTGCACACGGTGAAGACAGTGATACCATCGGTTGTGACGGAAGATACGCAACGGTAGCACTCAACGGCGGTCCATTGGCAGCTTTGCTTCTTGCATGGAGTTCCATATCGCGAAAAAGTCTGCTGAACACGAAAGAAGAAATGAGTTGTTCAAGAATTGTCAGTACATTTAGCGCATGGTGTGTTATGACGAATGACATGTAGAAATGAAAAGCAACAAATTGACTTAACATGTCAAAGAGCTTGCTATGAGCCAAGGGAATGCATTACCCAGATTGAAAACGCATCAAAATCATGTGTCAACTTGCGCATGATCGAAAACATGAATCAAGATCGTACACACATCTGCAGCGATAAGGTCCCTACCGTGTTTGACATTCTGCTTGGTTTGAGCATCACAAACTATGTGTGTCCGCACACTTTTGTGATACTCATAAAATGACAGTAAGAAGTAGGGTTCCCGGCCAATAAAATCCTTCGGCACATGGCCACCTTCGCCCTATGGGCACCATTCGCCCGTTGGGCACTCCTTCGGCTTATGCCACCCTTCAATTGTCCTTGACCCCCCTTCGGCTATTGCCATCACTTCTAGCAGCCCCTATGGCTACTCGCTCAACTTCTGCCTCCGTAGAGGGCGGATTCGGCACACTATGCCAAGATTGTTCTTCCCCATTAGGGATGATAAGGTCATGGTCTGTATAGGACACATGACTAATGCACACTGTTGATTTTTTGGAAGTGAACTGCAATGACGATGTGGTTGTACACGCCTGGTAGAATTCCTGAGTCCATCATCCTTGATAAACAGGTGAAACCAGGTCCAAATCATTAATCAGCAAGGTGGTTCTTGGGTTAGCCACATCCCATCGCGGAAAAGGAAAGACATGATTAGGCAGGTACGTCGATCCAGCGTCCCGGATCGATATCACAGAATGTCATAGCCGTCTTCGTTGGCTGCAGAACTATGACATTCCCTGCAGCCCCCTGCTGTTAAGTAGTCTTTGGCGCATGAATTCGGAAAACATAACGTGCATAGTCTTTGGCGCATGAATTCGGAAAACATAACGTGCATAGTCATCAAATGTCCAGTTGTAGTTTTCTGCATGTGAATAGCAGTGTACACACACACAGAGGTTCCTTAGGGAGTCCATTATGATCCAATAGTGATTTACAATTTTTCTTGCTTCCCATAACTACTCAACCAGTTTTTTATTCCCCAGGATTGACATCTCGCATTTTCGGGCGCAGGACTTCGGAAGTTATGCGACCAAAACCATCAGCCGGGGATCCCAAGGGAGCGCCTGGCGGATGATCAGATGATCAACGGTCCAGGTCAGGTAAATCCGGGCTTGACATTCAAATCAGATTGTTTTTTTTTAAATATCATGAGATCCCATGAATCATGAACTCCCATGAATCATGAGATCCCATGATGTCTCATTTAGTATGTATTCATTACATCTCATTTAATATGCTGATTGACATCTAATAATGCCAAGCTGATTCATCCCATCCCCCGTTCATATTAAACAACCCCACTCTATGGTCCCAAGAAAGGGTGTCCCCTTTTGTCCATCCACCATGGTTTCTGCGTGTGTAATATGGTCCCGGAGTCCCGGATGGTGAAAAATCAGATGGTAAACCCAGAAAATACTGATTTACTGGAAATCATGGGGCACTTTTTCTGGGAATATCATGGGAACATCATGTTCCTAAATAGATTTGCCATTTTCTGGGTGGTATAAACCACCAAAGTATACCCTCTGGTAATTTAACATAGCTATTGAAAATGACCATTTATAGTGGATTTTCCCATTAAAAATGGTGATTCTCTATAGCTATGTTAGTTTACCAGAGGGTAGGTGGTTTATTCATGGACCAGGTGCCAAGGAGAATGGCTATCGGCAGCTGTGGAGCCTCGATCAACTCTGTCAGGACGGGGTTTTCGAAGGACACCAGGTATGGCAGCCTTGCACCACTTGGGGGAAATCATGGTATACAGTATATATATATAGTATCCATAATATATATATACATAATATATATAGTATCTATAGTATATATATATACATAATATATATATATATACACATAATATATATATATACATAATATATATAGTATCCATAATATATATATATAGAGTATCCATAATATATATAGTATCTATAATATATATAGTATCTAATATATATATATACATAATATATATATATATATAATATATATACATAATATATATACACATAATATATATATATACATAATATATATATATACATAATATATATAGTATCTATAATATATATACATATGTAATGTGTGTACATATATATATATATATATAAATGATGTAAATAATGGTAGATAAAGGTAACAACCGTAAATGATAGTGAATGATGGCCAATAATAGTGGTAGCTTCCTACTATGATAAAGATAGAGTTGTAAAATGACCACTGTTTCGTAATGTGTTTTGGCCAGGAGTTGGGTCCAGAACCGCAGCCATCACTCCGCGAGCACAAGATCAGGGGCTTGGGCTTGAATGTGCGCTACTGAGAGATCGGTCGTGCCATTTCTGGGTCGGTCGATGCATTCTGAGTCAAAAAACCCCGTGAGCCAGCAAACCTGGCCCTATTTGTTTCTCTAATTTCTGCAAGATTTCAATGTTTGCCAATTTTCGCAATTTTGTTTTGGTGATTTCTCCAACATTTTTATCGCATACAATTTGTATGTTGGATCTTTGCCTCTACTCTTCCAACCTCGCGCCTGCAAGGTCACGGACGAGCAATTCCTGTCGCAGTGGTCACCTGGTGGATGTTTAGTTGAGCCACCAGGATGAGGCTTCAATCCTGGACCCTTAATGCATCCCTATTAGCAAGTGGTGAATGACCCACATATGACATCATCTAGGTCTATCCCACATAAAACTGAATTATTTATAGTACTGTGCCATGGTCAAAACACAGCTATATGGTTCATTTTCCCGTAGGTTCGGGGATGGTCAATGTCCCCTATTTTCAGCATGTGAAGTACCCATCAATCGGGGAATCTCATGGTGGGATTACCGCACCCCATATATCATATTGTTGGTTCTACCCCCGAACCATTCCCATTATATATCCCATTATATTTTCCATTTTATATACATCCCGATATTGTTGGTTAGATCATATTAATTTCCATTATATCATATTAATTTCCATTATATCATATCATATCCCATTGTCTATCTATCTATCTATCTGTCTATCTATCTATCTATCTATCTATCTATCTATCTATCTATCTATCTATCTATCTATCTATCTATCTATCTATCTAAGCTAGCTGCTATACATACGTACGTACGTACGTACATACATACATGCATGCATGCATGCATACGTACATCCATGCATGCATGCATACATACACACATACACACATAGATACATAGATACATAGATACATAGATACATAGATACATACAGACATAGATACATAGATACATACATACACAGATACATAGATACATAGATACATAGATAGATAGATAGATAGATAGATAGATAGATAGATAGATAGATAGATAGATAGATAGATACATAGATACATAGATACATAGATACATACATAGATACATAGATACATACATACATAGATAGATAGATAGATAGATAGATACATACATGCATCCATACATCCATACATCCATACATCCATACATCCATACATCCATACATCCATACATCCATACATCCATACATCCATACATCCATACATCCATACATCCATACATACATCCATCCATCCATCCATACATACATACAATCAATATGTATCACATTCCTGTTGGTAAATTTTATAACATATCCATCCCATTGACCACTTGAATCGTCATCCGTGGACCGCACTGGTTGACCGAGGCAGGAACCTTTCGTGAGCGGAAGACAGGGGCCACCCTTTCCGCCCACCTTCAAACTGGCGGTGCTTGGGAGCCCGGACAAAGGTCATGCCTTGGTAAAGGAAGGTCAAATTTCTCATGACATGTCGTTTTTTTTTTTCGATGATCATAGACATAGATTCATATATCAACGTGTGGTACGAAAGTTACTGATAAGAGCATGATCGAATCCAATGATCGAATACATATATACAAACATACCTTATTACTATTATTAGTATTATCACCATAATTATTAGTATTACCATCTGGTTATTTAACAGTTTGCCATGGAAAGATCCACCATTTTTAAGTTCGGTATATAAATTATATAAACCATCTATTTCTATGGGCCATGGCTTCCATGGCGATGTTAAATATTTGTGATCACACACTGAAGCCAGGCCTGGGCCTGGCTACAGCAAGAAACGGGTTCCCGTGCCTCGGGTGGAACTTGGGGGTGCAGATTCCAGGTTCTTTAAGGGGTTATACCCACAGATAGATATATATATATGGAGTATCCTGTATCCCCAGTTATACATGGCTTATACATGGCTTTTAAATGTTAGAAATGTTATGAATGTTATGAAGCACTTACCAAGTCTTTAAGTGCCATTTATACCACCTAATTATGTTTGTTGAACTTTCCAGGCCTGGACAGACCGTGTGCTCTACAGCAGCGATCATGCTGAGCTGGAGCCCCACAACAACTGGGTGCTGCAGGTTTTACCAAGAAAAGTAGGGACACCCTCAAAGATGGCTGGTTGGTGGTTTGGAACATTTTTTATTTTCCATAATATGGGATAATCCTTCCCATTGACTTTCATATTTTTCAAGATGGGTAAAACCACCAGATGGGGATTTATGGCTATTGAACTAGATAATGGGCTAAGATAAAGCAACCAAACATAACTCAGGGCGCATCACCATGATCTGCAGCTGATATTGGTTGCGAAGCCAGTGGCGCAGCTCCACTCTGTCCGACGGGATTTGGGGCCCAGGTTAGCCCGGATCCAAACAGCGGTCTAGGCTAGGCTCCAGAAAGGTATTGCGAACTTGGCTACAGGAAAAATCAGGATCCCTTTCCAGCAACAAAAAACCTAGGAGGTTTGCAATTTCCCCATTTATATCATTTTCTTGATATAGCACCTGCATTTTTATCATTCATACAATTGGACGTTGTAGGTGAGTACTACAGATGGTTCAACAGTTGCCAATTTGACTGTGATTTGCATTCCAGCCGAGGCCCCTGAAATATGGGTCCCTGCAGCAGTCGCAGGCGTGAGCCTGTCCACAAACGCTTTGGAGAAGTTCAACACAGATACCCTCTGGTTATTTAACATAGCCATGGAAAATGGCCATTTATAGTTGATTTACCCATTAAAACCTCCATTTATAAGGGATTTTCCATGGCTATGTTAAATAACCAGATGATAATTATAGAGTGAGAGAGAGAGAGAGCGCATGACGCAAAGATCTCAGCCGACATCGAACGCATTGACACGGGGGTGTCAAAGTAGATATTGATTATATAATTATATAGTATCTCTTTTCCTCGTGTCAATGTCAACCGTGGATTAGCAAACCCTGGTTGATTAAATCCGGATGACCCAAAGTGATCATTGGGGACTACGAATTTGGCCCCCAAATCCTCCCAGTCAACCCAAGCTTCGGCACCAACTGGGGACCTGGGGATAGAAGTTGCAACCATTTCACTTTCACAGCCAGGCTACCAGGCTAATCATTGGCTGAGTTGACCCAATGGCAGCATGGATCGGGCTGACCTTCGTCCAGGTGCTGAGCCCTCCACACAATGTGTCGGATCATGACCCAGTGTGCGCCGGCGCTCCGTGGACAATGGGTGAAGATGGTGAAGTGATGGGAGGGATCCTGATGATCTTCTTAAGCCTGACCTTGAAACTGCGAGATGTTCGACCAGGTATGCCTTTTTTGATGTCGAGTGCATGGGGATTGACCCTAGGCGCGGCTGGTCAGAGTCCTTGATGATTGGCAATCCGAAAAAGATAACTAGCCAACCTGTGGTTCCCCAAGCCAAAACAATTTTTTGGCACATACCCAATTCATCCAATTCATATGTCTTTGGGATTCATTACCATAAACATGTTGTTGATCTTCCAAGTCTTGGTGTTTTTCTTAATTCAAACTGCAGTAACTGTTGATACTGTTGTTCCTTGTCTTACCGCCGGATTCTCATCATTCATCGCTCTCCCGTGGATGTGAGGCGCTTGGGCTTGCTAGCGCGGCAAGTCCGGGGAGAGTCGCGAGAGACCAGGCGGAGTCCTGGAAAGACTTCTGATTTCGCCATGGAAACGACCAAAAAAGCGGCAATTTCAAAGGCAAACATCATCTTCCAAATCTTCCAGTTTCTTCTCAGTGTTTTGTGGTCTGTTGGTTTTCAGTGATTCACCCAGGAACCAACGTGGCAGGGGGAACATAATTCTTTGCCGGACAAACTTGGTGCCCAGCACAAAATGACTCGTGGTCTTGAACGAAAATCCAAAATTTGCCCACAATTTTGACCAACCAGATGGATGTAATGTTAGAACATCTCTACTTCATAGTCCTAACTTGCACGGTGCTCCTCATGAACTTCTGCGATGCTATCGTCCGGGAACCAAGACGAGTCATTTCTATGTGTCAGTCAGCCTGTCAGTCTTGCATCAAATATCACTTGTGATGTAATGTGACAGTCAGACATGCCGGCAGCTCACACATGCGCACATGCGTGCTGCAATTGTTGGCTCCCTGTGGATGGCGCAGTAGTCCATGCAGCAAAGTCTTTCCAGCTTTATTTACCACAGCGATTTGCCGATTTCGGAAGCCCATGTTGGCTGACGGCCAGTCAGGACCCAAGGCGGATTTCCAACACCAACTCCGAGCCTTCGATGCAGCCAACATCGCTTTGAAGAAGGAGGTGGGGAGGCTGGAAGCCAACCTGAAGCAGAAGGCGGAGGATGAGGACTTCCCCGCCTTGCAGGAAAAGCTCCAGTTCCTGAATGGAGTCCTTTCGAACCACAAGACTTTGAGGTGGGCATTGAAGCTGAAGGATGTGCAAATTGAGGTGAGGTATGATGATTTGGAACATTTTCCAGTGGTGGATGGAGCCAGTGAGCTTGAGAAGCTGAAGGAGACCTACACCAAGATGACCCAGCTGCTTGCGGTGTGCGAGCAGACTGCTTACAAACTCCTGGGGGCCCCAAGTTGGTGGTATACCTGGAAAGTTGCTGAATGGCAGAACTGGGTGCAAGAAAACCCAAAGATGGCTGCATCTGTGGTGGTAAGTACCACAGCATTCACGGCTGGGGTCTTCTACTTCCTTTCATGGTCAGGTTGTGCATGCCACCCATTGTTGGCTGTGGCGCAGCATGCTGCCTTTGGTGCTGTCTTGGGTGCTGGTGTGGGAATCGGAATCGTGGCTTTGCTTGCAGTGCTCTACCAGGGCTACCGCTACATGGTGCCTTATGAAAGTGAATCAAGCACACAAAAGCTTGCCAAGATGGTGGAGACATTGAAGCAGATTCCAGACTCTGAATACATCAAGCAGTTGGATGACATGATTGTGAAGTGCACCAGTGTACAGGCACAGTTTCCTTCCGTTGAAGACCGAAAGTGCGTGGTTTGCTTTGCTGAGGGCGACGATGTGGTGGAACCTGTGAAGGCCCCTCGCTGCAAGGGACACCACTACATGTGCATGAAGTGCTGGAAGAACTACATCACACGACCATGCGGACGTGAGGGCAAGTGCTGTGTTTGCAATGTGTAGAGGCAACCGCCTTGCTGAGCTGAGATTTATCGCAGGTGATAGCCTGATGGCCGCACAAGATGCCACACCAGATGGCTATGTTCAAACTTCAGCCACGGAGAAAGAATGTGTACAGCTCGCATGTGTCTGAAGAGTGAATCATACAGCAAGGTGGAGAGGTGGAGCAATGAATTTGTTTGCAATCTCGTGGGATCCCATGGGTGTGGGCCTGTAGATGCCTGTAGGGCTTTGGAAATTCAACCCTAACTTGGTCATTCTTGTGCGGACCATTTCTTTTTTCTGGTGTGCCCAACTTTGATCCTTGCATCTTGGCTGCAGCGTTTTCACCGCTCAGGTTGAGAAGTGTCCTCCGGAAGATAGCTATGAGCCCATTCGGATGTCGTCGCCACCAGAGAACTAGATGCTCCCTAGATGCTTTCAAGCAACTAAACATATAGAAATCGGCACAATTTGCATGGATCTTCCGGCTTCCTCTCCTTTTTTGATACCCAACCATTGCTCAGAGTTCATCCATGACGCCCAACCATCCAGGTTTCGATGGTGGAGTATCGTGATCCCCTTCAAACCACTCGGTATGACTCATTTGTGCAATATAATAAATTATAATAATGTCATATGATTATGTATGTATATGTACATAATACATAATATATATATATAGATATGTAAGGAACCTTATATGTATGTATATACATGTTTTGTAACCAATAGGATTTTTCCTGGCATTATATAAATAGATATATAATGTAATATGAATTTTCAACCACCTGGCATTTTGGAGATTGGAACATCATCGGAGGCGGCTGTCCAGTCGCTTGACAACAAGTGGCAGAATGCAATCTCAGGTGTTGCAGGCAGGGACAATGCTGCTTTGCTGGGGCTTGTCACTGAGGCTGTTGGAACTGTCGGAACCTTGGGTTTACCGGTTTACCCCCCCAAAATGGCCAGTTTGACAGACCCATGTGGCATTGACCGCCCCCGAAAATGTGGATGGCAAACTGTATAACCAACATTAATCAACAAAATATGGGGATGTAACGGCATAGATTATGTGATATCTGGGGTCCGGAAATGCGGGATGGGCTTTTAGTTTACGAAATCTTTTTGGTTATATAAATGAAGAGCATTACATTCTCAACCATGTTTTTCATTTGCCGATTTTTTTCGGGCGAGGCCAGCTCATGAGATGCTTCTCTATCCTAGGTTCTCCATATTCTATCACCACAAGGCTCAACAGGCTGAAAAAGAATGTGTGTCTTGGCACGTTGTATAGAATTTACTGCAGCAGCTGCAAGCCTTTTGTGCAACTGATAGTCACCTAATCCCACTTTCAAAGAATAACAGTCCGCAAATACCACAAAAACACAAAAAGACTAGATCCACTGGGTTCCTCAAGTGTTTATGTGTTTTCCTACTCAAGGAGGCAAGAGATTTACCAGGATTGGGCAATTGAACACTACCACCACTCCACAATTCTTGCTCAAAACTACTTGGATGTGCATCCAAGTTGGCTTATCAGACACCTTAAATATCAACATGGTGAAATCCTACAGGCAATCCCAGGTATATATATATACACATATACATATAAGTGCAAAGTTTTAAATTGGAATTTATCCACAAAAACATATCCACACACACACATGTACATATATACAGTTTCGGACGAGCACTTAGAATATGTTCAAAAAATACACTTTTAAATATATTCTAAGTGTGGCCTGGTTTAGCACTTAGAATATACATCATATTCTAAGTGTCTAGCACTTGAATATAAGGGTCCTTCACATATATGAAACTACAGCATGATGCACGTAATATATACATATATACTAGTATATATATAGAGATTATTGCAACTATAGATGTAACTGTAGTATTATACTATTATTATCATTATACATATATACATATTTCTATACATACATACATACATACATACATACATACATACATACATACATACATACATACATACATACATACATACATACATACATACATACATAATACATACATACATACATACATACATACATACATACATACATACATACATACATACATACATACATACATACATACATACATACATACATACATACATACATACATACATACACACAAGCATAGCATAGCATAGCATAGCATAGCATAGCATAGCATAGCATAGCATAACATAACATAACATAACATACATAGATTTATATGTTTCTAATATATATATATATAACATGTATATCATATATATATATACATATCATATCATATATATATATGCAATATCATATATAGCATATATATATACACCAAATATATCAACTATATCTTATATATATCATATATATGTATAATATATATATATGTATAATATATATATGTATAATATATATATATATATCATATATATATATATATCATATACATACATATCATATTATATATATATCATATACATATCATATATATATCATACACCTCATATATATCACATATATATATTATATGTCATATATGTTATACATATCATATGTATATATATATATATTATATGTCATATATGTCATATACATATATACAATATATCATATTTTTTATGATCCTGTTCAAAGTTTTTTCATATGTTTCTTTGTTGTTTCTTCTTCTTCTTCTTTTTTTACATTGTCATTATATATATATATATATTCAACTTTATCATGCTTTTGAATCAACTCATATATCATATGTATTCATATGTCATACATTATATATCATTTGTCACATGTCACATATCATATGATAGATATTCTCCAGTTAGGATGGCTCCCACGCCAGTCACGCCAGGCCCAAGCTCTTGAGGAGGATGCTCTGGGTCCACAGACTGAAATCGATGACGCCTCCAGGAGAAGGGGTGCACCGGGTGAGCGCTTGAGCCATGGAGTGATGGAAGGGATAGTGGTTAATAGTGGTTAATAGTGGTTAATAGTGATTAATAGTGGCTAATAAACCCAATAATAATTGGATATGACATGATGTGGGTAAAACCATGTCATTTTTACCACCCATGACTGGGAATGGTAAGTTTATACCACCTATATATTTATGGTGATGACTGCGGGATGGTTAACATGACATTGTTTTACCCACAGAAAAATCACTATAAACCACCAAAAAGGGGGGGTATACTCACCATACGTTCGCCACATAAACCAACATAAACCGTATGATTGTCCCATTACCATTATGAGCCATGAAGAATGGGGTTAGGGATATCATGAAACATGGGGAAAGAAGTAATATGGAAAGGTTTTCGACATGATTTAACCATTAATAAGGGGCTTATATAGATCTGGATGAATTATAACGACCTTCCGTCGCGACGTCACTAGAATTCTTGTGGACTCTTTCTCATTCAGGGTTGGAAAATCCGAGAGAGCTTCGCTCAGATATGGATAGATCTAAGGAACTTCTTGCAGTACCATGGTTTTACCGTTTAGATGAATACAGAGCCTGATTTTTTCGTGTAAAGCGAATTCTGAGGACCAACAAACAGCGAGGACATGCTTCTTTCAGCCCATGAGTGGAGTTTCCTTAAGGTCTCAACATGGGACAGGACATGGCGATACAACTGGGACTTTTTGTTTAAACCAATGGGATGGA